AAATGGAATGACTTCTGATGACAGAGCTCTAGGTGGGATGAGTGTTAGGAGAGGGACCTTTCAGATAGGACACACTTCAGTACAGAGCGTGATGCAAATGGTGAAGTAGAGGTCTGTGGAGACAGGCTTCAACTGGAGATGGCTTATTTTACACAAACAGGTTCCTCATTTTAGAAACTATATACACCGCCTAACAGCATACAATCCAACCAAACTCAGATGGAAGTTTTACTCTGATGCTATATGAAATGTTAACAGATGTTTTATCAGTAAGCAGTTGGTCACAAAACTGCAGAAGAAGAAATGTTCTTGTTGTGTGCTAAACTCAACAGCCCAGAGGCTGTTAGGGGATTTTAAGGAATCCTTGGATGGGCTTACGAAGCAGTGTCCAGTGGTACTTTTAGAGCCTTATGACACACACCGTTTACCCTTTCTACTTTGATCCTGATGCTCTGACTCTGCAGTTCTAACCCTCAGTGGAACTTGGGTTATTCTTGCACATGCTCTGTTTATATAAGTACAATTGTTTGAGTGGGTCACACCAAATGCAGCCTAGCTTTGAGTATAATGCAGACGGAGGAAATCAGGTGACATTTACACATTATAGAGTGACACTTAGATAGTTGTCACAATGTCCACTGAGGTCAAGACAATTATTACTGTATTATAGCTACAGTAGAAGAGATGATTGTATAGAATATAGGAAAAAAAACCCTCTACAAGATAGAATATACCTAACAAATAGTTTCACATGTTCATTCTTAAAGAAATATATATTAGACTGGCATTGTATATTTGCCAAAGTTTTATTTTTCTCCCAGTGCTTGGAAGTAAGTACAAGGTCCAGAACTAAGGCCTGAGCATGTGTGGCAAAGCTACAGGACCATGCCTTTAGCACTGCTCACCTAAGCTTTAACGGACTAGAGGTGCCTCGAATGCTGCAGAGAACAAGACAGTGGATGCTTAGTGGGACTCAGTTTACTCAGTGATTATCTACTGAGAATCTAATATGTTCTGAGCTCTGTTTTGAGAAGCTGAAGGTAGCAAATAAACTCACAATGTTATGTAGTATTAAATATGGCCAGAAAGGGTCTCTCTTTCTTTCTCTCTCTCTGTCTCTCTCATGTGTGTGCCTGTGTGTATGTGTGTTTGTTTGCACATGTGCATGCGTGAGTGTGGGTTTTTTTGTGAGCACACAAGCACAGAACATGGCACAGACACATGGATTAAATTATGTGGCCAATTAATACTATGTCAGATCTGGGTAGGGAGTGTCAGGCTAGGGTAAGAGCGAAAGCCAAGTATTTAAAGAGTCTTCCGTGAGAAATAGCAAGATGGCTACTGTGGTTACAGTAGAAATACCGAGAACAGTGTTAGAGGACAAGAGGAGAGAAAAACAGAGACAGAATCATGGATCGTCTTGTACACTAGGGCAAAGGAGGAGTGTGAGTTTGGAAGGGAAGGATGGGGGAGCTGGGGCTGTGGATGGCCCTGTGCCAGCTGGGTGGAGATTGACAGGGCAGGGTTAGAAGCAGAGAGTTGGGAGGTCACTATGCTAGTGTGGGTGAGAGATGATGGTGGTGTGGACAAGAGAAAAGGCAATGGGGTCGTGTTAAGTGTCATTGTGAATGCTGAGCTCGTATGTTTGAGGAAGGGATAGTAACTTGTGGTTTGAATGGAGAGGGAAGAGGAGGGATCAAAGGGAGCGAGGGGTCATGGGTAACACTGGTGTTTGTTCTCAGTCACTGGGCCAAAGAAACCAGCAGTGATCTCACATGGAGAAGGAGGGAGGTGGGAGGGCTGACGGGAGACTTGCAGAAGCATTGGCTGGAGATGCCTGTTAGATACATAAATGGGTGTGTGCAGTTCTATAGACGAGCGTCCTGAGATCTAAGTATGAAACTGGTACTTTATCAATGGCATCTTAAGCTGTGAAAGCCAATACTAATACCCAGGTTCCAAGACTCCCTAGAGAACAGAACCAAGGGACTGACCACTCCGTCCCTGGGAGATGGGGGAGGCACAGAGGAGGTGGCGAGCCTTGTCAGGGTGTGGGACAGTAAAGGGAGGAAGTACTCCAGAAGCCAAGCTAAGAATGTGTTTCAAGGAGAGTCACGAACCATCAAAGCATCTCTGGGGCAAGATGCCAGCGGGATGTAGCAAGAGATGACCTTCTTTTAAGGAGTCTTAGCACAGAGAGGGGGTGGGAAGGGGGCTCAGCACAGAGACAGAGTGGGGTGGGAGTAAGGAGGCCCACAAACCACGACAGGATGTTGCAAACAGTGCCTAGGCATGTAAACACATTTCTGGAGGTGACTGCACACAGTTCAAGGGCTCTCAGAAAATTCAGGAACATCATATAAAGTTAGTATACTGCTATACATTTGGAATCTGGTAGTTTGGGATTCTGGTAGCTTGGAAGGACAGGTAAATTAGGGGGAATAAAACTTCAACTTTTTTTTTTTAACAGTTTCTTTTTTTCTGCCATTACTTCTATATTTTACCTCTTAAGTTAATATCCTGTTACTACTGCAGCCAGGGCCATTAGTTCTCAGCTCCATGATGGCTATTTTATAAGGACAATGATACATTCTATCCTGTCCTGTCCTTTCATTACAGGATACTTCCTCCACCCCACCCCCCCCGTTGGATTTCTTCTTTTCTAGTAACATTTTAATTTGATCTAATCACTATCTGTAGTTGTCTAGACCGTGATGTGATACGCGACCCCACATCTAACACTGCATGTCGGGCTCTAGAACTTTACACCTAGGAATTCATTTCACTTTTAAAAACAATTCCAATATCTTTACTGTCCCTGTTTTACCGTTTGGAACTGAGGCACAAAGAAGTTAAGTAACTTTCTCAAGGCCACAAAGTAAATGACTGAGACGGCGGTATTAGAGGTGGATCATGTGGTATTGTTGTACTCGGTCTTCCTATATTACATACTTTGCTGGGATGGACCATCATTAGTGAACCATCTTCAAGGGACAGGCTGTCTTTGATTTCAACTGCACTTTTCAAAAGACACGGCAGTTGTGTTTCCTGTTGTTCTATCAGAGTGGGTCAGTAGGACCCAGGGAACTGAAAACTGGATCCAGATGTGAAAGGGGGCGTTTGGTTATTTTAGAGTTGATCTGCTCCCCGATGGCCGCCCACGGGCTGATGCTCAGCCAGAGCCTGTATGAGCAGGGTGGAGTCTGTGGGATGGAAATCAGCACCTCGTGTGTCTCCGGTGTGAGTGTGGCTCATGCCCCTCCCCCTTTAACCACGTGGATAGCACATGAGATATCATGGATGAAAGAGGCATGTAGAATAAATGGAAGTCACCATGTTCAGGAGTGTCTACTGTGTACAAAGAACTGCTCTGGGTTTTGGGGCTGTGATTTCTTGGAAGCTAAAATAATACAGTTCAGTTCCTGAAAAACTCAAATATTTAAACGTCTTTGAGAGGTTTTGGTGCTTAAACACCAGTCGGTGTGCAAACAATTGAAACATCAAGTATCTCAGCACCAGCACGGTCCAGCTGGTTTGACCTCTGATTTTTTTTCTTTCCGTCATAGGCTAACTTTATTTCCAAAGATGGTTTTCTTCCCAACACCACTGCAATTGGCTCACCCGAAGGATGGGTATCTGGAGACATAATTTCCCAAGCACTGACAACCTTTCCTTTTAGTAGATTTTCAGTTCTGTCTTTGATCAGAAAGCTCCTGAAATAAACTACTTGCCACGTTCCTGTCTAGCATGAAGAAGACAGAGGAGAAATAACTTCTGCTATGATGTTTTCAGGACCTGAATTAGAGTCCCTTCCTCTAAGCACAGAGTCCTACACTTTGCAACATTTTTTTTTTCTCAAGATAAGCCTGTTTTTGTCTATGTTCCGTTCTCATGAAAAAACTCACTATGTTTTCAGAAAAGCGCAGGAGATTTGGTCTTCAAATTTGTAGGTAATTTCTACAAATGGAAAGAACCTGCTAGGAAATAGACCCCCTTCCCAGCTGTGAATCCCCCCTGTCAGCTGTATACCACTGCTGCAAATATGTCCACTTAAAAGGAAGGGAAGATGGGGGCGGGGTAGCACTCCAGAGAAGATGACAATCGGCTGCTTCCTATGGAGGGAGGATTTCAAATGGTCATAGAGCAGGGCTTCAGGCTGGCTTCCTGTGAGTGGCTTCCTTTAGGCTGATCCTGATCCCAAGCCAATGTGAAGAGAGGAGTTTTCCTCCCACCAGACCCCAGATCTCTGATAACTCACTAGTGATCACAGTGTTCAAAATATTATAAAACTGAGGCCACAGGGAACCCAGGACAACACATCAGTTCACACAGGGTAAGCTTATGGTCACAGCTATGTTGGAAACAAGGCAGTTGCTGACTGACACCTCCACAGATTCAGACACTCAAATACTAAAATATCCCCCGGAAGGATTAAGTTACGATTACAGTATCGAGGCGATCATGGTTTAAAATACTTGATACTCAAATTTGTCTTTTCAGGACATACTTGAAAGCGATTTAATTGTATATGAATTTTTTCTTTTAAAAATATAGCCATCTTTTACTTAATTTCCCACTCAGTATTTAAAAGCTTGGGACACTTTTCTTCTCTAGAAGAGTGAAAGTATAAAATTTAAGTCCCAAGTAATCCAGAAAAAAAAAAGAGAGAAGGTTTTGTTGGCTGGTTGTGTTAGCTGTTCGGTCATAACTAGCAAGAAGTAGAAAAAGTTTAGAGAGTAAAACACTTTCCATGTGTCTAGTGGTGATTTTTTTTAAAATGGAATATTTTGCAATTACACTACATTTCAAAAAAAATAATCATCATGAAAAGTTGAAGAAAGTTTGGGCAAAAATGTTGAGAAAAATTTCTGGCCCCGAGGTCTGGAGGGTATTTTCCCAGGATTACACATTTGCTTCAGTAGCGGAAGCATGTAAATTGATGCACTGTGGCCAGAGCCCCGCCGCTCATCTAACTGGAGTTGGTCCCCATGCTTTCCTACCTGCGTAGTGGTCAAACACAGTGGGCACGTATTCCTCCGGGAAGGCGTCATTGGCGTAGCTCATCAACAGGCAGGTCTTCCCCACCGCGCCGTCCCCGACCACCACGCACTTCAGGATCCTGTTCTCGTCGCGCCCACCACAGCCGCAGCTGCTGTCAGTCCCCTCTCTGCAGCTCATGTTGGTGGCTCCCGCAGCAGCTGCTGGGGCTTCTGCAGTGCATGGAGCGGTGACACCGGCCCCAGGCTGGAGCTCAGGCGGCCTGACTGTGGCTGGCCCGGCTCTCCCAGGCACAGCCCAGACACACGCGAGCCCCGCCGCTCGCCATGCTGGAGAAGAAAGGCACTCTTGGGAGGAGAGATGAAAAGGTCTGTCCCTTTCTCCCAATCCCAACGGAGGAGAAGTGGAGTTGGAGTAGAGCTGGAGTTAAGGAACTCTCATTTCCACAGACTTCCCGGGACTTCCTGGCAGTCTAGAAATCTCAGCAGCCCGTGAGAGTCTCACTCTATCCTCCCCATCCCCAGCCGGGCTGATGACACGGTGGGATTTGGATAACTCCTGCCCGGTTTCCCACCACACAGCTAATATGGAGGAGAGAAGGGCTTTTAAACGGAGTTTACCCCCCTCGCTTCCTCCAGCTTGTGGAGTGTCAGGAAATTGTGGGTTTCCTGCTGCATTCCATATTAGGATCAGTGGGCCGGGAAGGCGGTAACAATGGGGCTCTGTGCGTGTGTTTGGACTTCTGGGGAACCAGGCCAGGACACGGAGAGGGAAAACACTAGGGGTCCTGCAGTCAGCTTAAGCTGTCAGACTTCCTGCTTTATCCCCTGCTAGCCAGGCTGCTGCCTTGTGGCTGGGAAGAAGCCAATGAAGAAAGGATGGAACCCGGGGAGTTCTGTCTGCCACGGAAACCGGGAGAGGACCGAGTTGAGAGCTTGAGGGAGCTGAGAGAACCACAGAGGGATTGCAGGCTAACATATGACGTCATCCTTCCCTCCCTGACTCACCAGCTCAAAGCAAATTGAAAACGACAGTTTTTTTTTTCTTTACTTAAACGAGAAACTCAAGCAATTCTTTGCAGCAACAAGGAAGGAAATCTCCCAGAGTCACGCGGTTTCGAAGTGGGGGAACCTTGTGCAGGTTGTAGCCGGTTGTAGGTATATTACGTGTGGCCAAGTTTACAAGTCTGTGTTTGGCACAATGCTCAAATATACATTTCAGATTCCCAAAACATCCCCTAAGGGTTTTTTTTTTTTTTTTTTTAACAGAGGAAATCAATCAGATATTGGGTATTTGAATTTTCTCTTACTATGCATATGCTGAGTTCAGGCTTCACACTCTTGGAAGTGAGAGAGAAGCACATAGCGCGGCCTTTTGGTTAGAGTCTCTAAGGCTGTGTGTGTTTAGAGGCTTTCCTTTTTCTTTGAATCATCTCCCCCTGCGTCAGCCGGCTCTCCTCAATGACATGAGCATAACAACTGGTTAGCTAGTTTGGTGTCTCAGAATGAGACCAAATTCGATTAATGAAGTTGGTCTTGGAAATGTGACCCCGCGAATGATTTTTGACAAAGGGGTTAAAGTCAAAGCGCTTTGCTTTTCTGTGAGATTTTGAAGAGTGCAGATTATCTAAGGTCTTCCAGCAGTTTCACTATGGCTGGGTTAGGGGGAAATCAGCTTTAGTAAATGACTGTTAATAACCTAGGTACCTACAACTCATGTGCATGCTATCAAGGAACAGAGTCCAGATTTCTTTTGTTTTGAACAGAGTAGCACTTGCCATGATGCTCGGTGCCCCAACATTTCTTTTCTGTGAAAGGATAATATTTCAATTAGATACTGAGTATGTAAGGGACATTATGTTATCATAACAAACAATCCTCAAAGCTCAGAATTTGAAATAACACTTCCTCCTCCTCCTCCTCCTCCTCCTCCTCCTCTTCTTCTTCTCCTCCCTCTCCCCTCCTCCCCCTCCCCTCCCCCTCCTCCCCCTCCCCTCCTCCTCCCCCTCCCCTCCCCCTCCTCCTCCCCCTCCTCTTCCTCCTCCCCTCCTCCTCCTCTTCTTCCCCCTCCTTTTCCTTCTCCCTCTCCTTTCCTCTTCCCCTCCTCTTTCCCCTCCTTTTCCTCCTCCCCTCTTTTCCTCCTTCTCCTTTTTCTCCTCCCCCTCCTTCCCTCCTTCCCCTCTTTTCCTCCTCCTCCTCCTTTTTCTCCTCCTCCCCCTTTACCTCCTCCCTCTCCTCTTCTTCCTCCTCCTTTTTCTCCTCCTCCCCCTTTACCTCCTCCCTCTCCTCCTCTTCCTCCTCTTCCTCTTCTTTCTCCTCCTCCACTTCCTCCTTTTCCTCCTCCTCCTCCTCTTCCTCCTCCTCTTCCTGTGTATCTTGTATACAGCATTGTTCTTTTTATTCAGGGTTGGGGCTGATTGGACTGTCATGCACACCATGACTGATCACCCTGGCAGGTGAGGAAATGAACACAGAGAAGCCCTGACTCTGTATTTTCTTTAGGAGGTGACGCTCTGCTTACATTCATTGGCCAGAACAAGTTGCATGCTCACAAGGGCTCAACAGAAGGACTAGAAGCATCATCCTACCCTGAGCTGGGAAGGAAGTACCACACGCTGATGAACAGCTTGAATGATAGACAGAGATGACTTATTTGGCTGTACTTGGAATGTGAATGTTTTGTATGAAGCCACGTTGTGAAGCATTTGAAGGCTCCCATGGCTGCCTGTAGTTGCAGCGATTTGATTTCAAGTTAGTCTTTCTGGGGAACCTAGGGTATATAGAAATAAAATTGTAATTTAGAAACTTCTGTTATACTTCTATATAAGGCTTTGAGGATGAAGGAGGTAGTCAAATGAACCTGTGCAGGTCAATCAGTGATAGATTGGCAGTGCAAATACCCCCTCTCCCCAAAACTCAACCCCTCCCCCCAAAAAAACCCTGCTGCCTAAAAGTGAACAGAAGTACTCGAGCGCAATGTGACAATGGGTATTGGCAGAGCTGTGAGCAGGGTCTTCCTTGACCTTCAGGCTGAGATTGGCAGAGCCTGCATCTGCACACTATAGACACTGGGCCTGCATAGAGGCTTTAGGTGAGATTGCTGTTCCCATGTGTAACCTAAATCTTGCACCATGGCACAGACAGTTAAGTCCATTCTCACGGTCACACGGACTCTGTACTGAGACTTTTAAGACACTTCAACAAGCTAGTTCTGTGTCTCTTCATCTGTGGAGTGGTACTTCTGCCAGGCTGGAAGACATGCAAATGGCTTGGAGAACGTTGGTTGTATTTCTCACAATAAAGTTGTTTTGTCACTATTTAATAAAAATGTAATACTTATAGAAAGAAATTTTGAGCATTCTATTAAAAAGGACAAAAAGATAAAATTTTAACATTAGACTTATTGTTAAGTGGATCACATTGTCTATGAAATATATAATTATTAACATTAAAACCTTTAGACAACAAGATTGTCATGAAAGCTGGACCAGGTAGGACACTCCTTTAAGTCCAGCACTCAAGGGGTGGATCTCTGTGAGTTCAAGGAAAGTTGGTCTATAACCTGACTATATCCAAGCCAGTCAGGGTTATACAGTCAGACCCTGTCTCAAGCATGATGAAACTCTAAAACAACAACAGTAGTGACAACAAGAATAACAATAATAACAACCCTAACATGAACCTGAAAATGCTTAAAAATTTAGCATTGTTCTTACAGGCCCAGGGAATTATAGAGCTGTGTCTGGTTGATCAGGTAGAATGACCGAGAATGCCCTTCCACTCTAAACATTTGTCTGTATGAGTTTGGAAGTGGTAGAGAGACTGCTGTCTAATGTGCTCTTAGGCAGATGTCTGTACTTTTGGGTCTTGAGCCATGTCGATGACTGACTGGTGGTTACATAGCCATTAATTATTTGGTTTACCTCACTGCTAAGTTTACCCATACTTAGCAGCACATGGTGAAATCTTGTTGGGTGATATTTTTTCCAAGAGACCTTAATTCCCTGTCTTGCTCCTGTTCTCTGGGCCTTGGTTTTACAGGACTTTCTGCAAATGTCAGCTCAAACACACACACAAACACACACCTACTCTCTCTCTCACACACACACACACATACACTACACATGCACACACACACTCTCTCACACATTCTCACATGCACTACATACACTCTTTCTCACACACACATGCACTCTCTCTCACACAATTCTCTCTCACACACCGATACACTCTCTGTTTCACACACACACACTCTCACATGCACACATTCGCACACACTCATACACTCTTACACATTCATATACTCTTTTTCACACTCACACTCACACACACACACACATACTCTTTCACACACACTCTCAGACAGATATGCACTCTCTCACACATTCTCACATGCACTACACACATGCACACACACTCGCTCTTAAACATACACACTGTCACACACGCACTCACTCACACACACTCTCACATGCACACACACGCTCACATGCACAGACACTTTAACACACATACTCTTTCACATTCTCTCTCTCTCTCTCTCTCTCTCACACACACACACACACATACACACACTCATAATCTTACACAAATTCTGACTCATCTGACAAAGTCCAGTTTTCCTGTGACTTTAATAGAAGGAAGAACCTTGACTCCTTTTCGTGTTTTTCCTCCAGATGTTGCACGGGGAAGTAGCATAACTGGGTCAGATCTTCTTATTCTGGGATAGTTTTTCTGTGGCAGAGTGTTTTGATTCCAGGCTTAGAAATGTGCAGTGTGCTATGATTCTGGTGATTTGAAGGCACCTAGAAGTCACTAGCAATCTGCATCCCATAGAAAGTCCTCTCAGAGGCTAACCAGCCTCTAGTGGTGATGGGTACAACGTGAATTGGGAACGACAACACTCCATAGTTCTAAGGCTTCTGACCCAAATATCCTCAACATTGGCTAGGATGCTAGCACTGAACAGAGTGTTCTATCTTGGACTGGAACTGCCCCTTCCCAAGGGGGATGAGTCATCTCCATCTGGGATGCTCATGTGTCTGTGTTCTGCAGCTTTTGAGTTCCTGTACACAGCTTCCAGTTATTGCCGATGTCATGAGCCATATCATGGCGTATCTTATCAGACACAGTTTCTTAGATATGATTTAAAAAAAATTCCATAAATGGATTTTTTTCTATCTTGAGAACTTTTCTTTTTCCTGTAATCTTATAATTTTGAGAGAAATTCGGTTAATTGTAAATGAGGGGTGGGTGGGACTACTATCTGTTTAAGGAAAGATGAGATCTGTTGGGTTAGGGGTAATTCAAGTTTCCTCTCTCCAGAAGATCAGGTGACATGCCTGAAATCCAAGCACTTGGGAAGCTGAGGGAGGAAGATCACAACTTTGAGGGCACCTTGGTCTACATCATGAGACCCTGTCTCAAAAAAAAAAAAAGAAAAAAAGAAAGACAGAAAGAAAAACAAAACCAAACCAAAAGCACAAAACCATCCCACCAAATGAACAACATCACTTCAAAACAACAAAAACAAACAACTCCCTTCCCCCTCCCCAAACCAAAACCCAAT